GCCGAATGAGAAAGGAGTAGAGAGACCACTATGGAACAACCGCGCAACCACGCAGCGGCATAAAAGGGTCAGTTGAGTGACTAACTTTATCACTTCCTCCTGCTGTATGTCTCAAAGTTTCACAATATGTACCAAATATTACCCAACCTAACATAGTGGAGCGGAAGCCAGCCTGGAGCCGCGTGTTTCTGTTGATTTCGTGAATCAAAGTTGACCTTCTTCTATTGCCAGTTGTGGGGAACCTCGGCTGTAACCAAGTGCATATTCAAGAAGTAGCAATATTCTCGAAATCTGTTCACACCGAAATCACAGCCGAGTTAGTGATGCTTTCGGGGGCGACTGTGAAATGTGGCTTTTGTGCAGATTGAAATAGCAAACGTTTCGTCGCCATCAGGTCGGGTGGACTCTCCCCACTCTGCTCTACTCTCGAGGCGGCTGCTCTCGCTTTCCTACACACCACCACCGTCTCGGTACCAAATCAACCGGGCGACACGCTCGCCAATGTGGACGGAGGGAAAACAGGATCAGGCTTACTGATCAGCTTGAGTTTCGCCTTAATGTCCTCCACTTGCTCCAGCACGGGTCGACTTGTCAGCGGGTACGAGGTGATCTTCGTATCGAGATCCTCTCTCGTCTGCGACAACATGTTGCAGGAGCGTCGGACAGCGTCTCTGGTCGGTTCTCGTGGCGCCGAAGGTCCGGCCGAATTGAACCACTTCAACATCGCTCAAATGACCGAGGCGGATCGATCATGCCGGGCCGAGAACGAGGCGATTCGGCCCAGCCTGTCGGTTCAGACAGGGCCGGTTGAGGAGAGGACGAATAGATAGACGCGACTGTTGAGCTCACTTTCGGTCAGAGCGAAAAAGAGTGTGTGTGTCTGTGTGTGTGTGTTTGTGTTTGTGGGTGTGGATGTGAGCTGAACTATGGTAGACCATGAGAGTCTTTGAAAGCCAACATTTTGCCGCATGAAGCATCAATAAATCTTGAATTGCAACTTTTGTATTCTCCTTTTTCGGATAGAGGAAACGCATAAACTATAGTATATATGCACTTATACTTGGTATTATTTCAATTTTGCATTATTTCCATATAAAATCATTGATAAGAGTACTAGAAAATGTTGATAACTGTAATGACGGGAAAGATAAGAGATCAGCAATGGTGTAGCCAAGCGACAGGAAGGTGAGCCGAGGACTGCTTCGTATAATTCAACAGACTACACTTTAAGGCAATCCTGGATGGGTTTACGGTGAAGCCAATCCACGAACATCTTCCAGTTAACATTTGCTTAAAAGTGAAAAGTCTAAGTCCAAGTCTAAACGTCTACTGCAAAAGAAGTCAGCCTATTGTGACGAGATGTATCATTTATAAGTAAGGGTTAGTTGGAAGAAAATAGTGAATTGGTCTCGCCAGGAAATACTGGGCTTACTTGAGGCAAGAAAAATTAATCACATTCCACCAGAAGAGAACGGCCTATTCCTAATTGTAAGCAGTTTTCGTTCGGAATTAAGGAAACATGCAGGTTGACGCTGTCCCCGAGTAAAGCTACT